TCCCAGGGCCTGGGCATCTCCCCACCCCTAGGAGGTGGCTCCATCCACCTTTCCCTTCTCCCACCAGGCTCAACCGATTTAACAAGAAGTATGTGAAGAAGTGTCTGATAGCCGGGGAGCGCTCCAAGGAGCCCCAGCTCATCGCTTTCTACCACAAGATGGAGATGAAGCAGGCTATCGAGCTGGTGGAAAGTGGTGGCATGGGCAAGATCCCCTCTGCTGTCTCCACCGTCTCCATGCAGTGAGTGCTAATGGCCAACCCTGGCAGGTTCTGCACCCACACACTAACCCCTCAACCCCGACCTGGAGCAGCGGGGGCAGTGAGTAAGGCTCCTCCCAACCTATCATGGCTGGTGAGAGCTACAGGGCCACCCAGGCCACCCCCACACTGACTTCCTTCTTGCCCAGCCCAGAAGGCTCCAGGGTCACAGAAGTTTTCTTGGGGCCCTAACCTGTGTTGTGTTGTCCCAGGAATATCCACCCCAAGTCCCTGCCTGCTGACCGCATCCTGCCAGCACTTTCCAAGGACAAGGAAGAGGAGATTCGCAAAATCCTGAGGAACAACTTGCAGAAGACCAGGCAGCGGGTGAGGGCTGCTCCCCACCAGGCCCCCTGCAGGACAGGAGCCCCTCTGCCCTGCCTTCTCCAGCCCTGCCCCACATGTGTCCAGAGCTGCCCCGGCCCCTCCTGACCCACTTCCAGGGCCTGCCCTGCCTGACAGCTGTTCCTTCCATAGCTGCGGTCTTACAACAGACACACACTGGTGGCAGACCCCTACGAGGAGGCCTGGAACCAGATGCTGCTCCGGAGACAGAAGGTCCGGCGATTGGAACAGAAGGTGTGTCGGGGACTGAAGTGGTTCCTTCCTTTCTCTGAGTTCTCTCTCTTCCTGCACCCTCACCACCAAGCCCTTTTGAAGCTAGAACACTCCGGTCTGTTTATTTTGGCCTCCACCTGTTTTGAAAGCTGAGCCCCAGAGCAGGTTCCAGGGCCCTTCATCATATCCTCAGGCATCTGCGCTTTGACACCTTATTTTCTTGTGAGAAAACTAAGGCCCAGGGGGATAGACAGCTGCCCAAAATCACAAAGCAAGGCACACATGCATGCATTCATTCATTTAAGAAACATTTGTTGAGTGGTCCCTAAGTGCTAAGCCTCTGAATCCGGGTGAATCAGCCTAGTCCCTCCCTTATGGAGCTTCTCTGGCAGTGGCCCATGCAGGACAAAAGTGCAGAGGGCCCTGAGCACCTTGAACAGGGAGGGGTCAGGATAAGCGTAGGAATCAGAGCCATGGTGGAGGGAGTGTGGGCAGGGAAGAGCATGTGCGTAAGTTCCCAGTCACAGAATGTGGCCCATTCTAGAAACAGAGGGTTTGGCTTTCAAGGAAGATTGTTAATAGCGTAGGGTTTGGGCTTTTATTCTGCAGGCATGGAGAACCATGAAGGACTCTATGTAAGGGAGTGACATGGGAAGCCGGATTAGGGTGGTGACAGGTGGAGATGAAAAGGAGTGGGTAGATTCAGGGGACATTTAGGTGGTGGAACTAACAAGACTTGGTCACCAGTTTGAGGTGGGCTGAGGGGAGAGGAAGAGGAGTCGGGTCATGTCTAGCCTTCTGATTGGGGTAGTTGGGAGTGGTGGCTGACCGGATGCCAAGAAGAAACAAGGTTATGACAGAAGATAAGAAACTGAGTTCATTTTCAACATGTTGCACTGAGATACCTGGTATCCACTCCTGAGTTGACTTTAGGGTCTGTACCTCAGGGGTAGGTGTGGCTGGAACTAGAGACTGGGGCAGTGTCACCATGGGAGAGGCAGGGCAGCGCAGGTGATTGCATAGCTTGAGGAGAGCCTGGGCCCAGCTTTCAGGAACCCCCGAAGTGCCAGCATGACACAGCCTAATGAGGAACTGCCAAGGGGGAGCAAGTGCCCAAGCACACCTGAGGCCACCAGCCTCTGGTGCCATCCAGGGGGACTGCCTGAGCTCACAGCCGTCTGCTCTTTCTCTGTCAGATCAACAACTACCTGACAGTGCCGGCCCACAAACTGGACTCCCCCACCATGTCTCGGGCCCGCATCGGCTCAGGTAAGGCAGGGCACAGGGTGCCTGGTGAGGGGCCTGGTGGCTGGGTGCTCAGTGCCACCACCTCCTGAAGATGAGGCTCCAACAGGAAGGGGCCTCAGAGAGCCAGTGGGGAGGCCATGCTTCTTCACTGAACTCCTCCTCCCAAGTCATGAGGTCCTCCATCGTGTGGAGGTGGGGGAATGGCCTTGCTGCCCTTCCCGGGGACAGAGGTGCTCCACGTGGGACTGACTGTGAGGACTGTTGAAGGGAGAGGGTGCCTGGCAGGGAGGCGGGAGGGGTCTACACTTTGGGATCTCCAACATGAGGAGGAAGCAAGGGCAGGCCTTCTCAGGCCTGAGTCCCTGGGGGCTGACGGTGATTCAGGAAAGAAGGAGCCCTAATTCTTTTTCTAAGGGGGAACAGCCATGGGAGCCCCTAGTGTGAGGAGAGGAACATGGTCCTACCTTTGAGACCCCAGACTGAGGGGAAGAGAAACTGCTGAGGGTCCCCACAGAGTCATTCTGAGCCATCAGGATTGCTGCACTCACAGGGAGGTCCTGTGGGAGCTGCTGGCACGGGCTGAGGTGGGGCGCGTGCTGGGCAGGGCTTAGGGGCAGAAGCCAACTGTGCCTTGGTCTTGGTCCCCAGACCCGCTGGCCTACGAGCCGAAGGCCGACTTGCCTGTTATCACCATCGACCCAGCCTCCCCACAGTCACCCGAGTCTGTGGACCTGGTGAATGAGGAGCTGAAGGGCAAGGTCCTTGGGCTGAACCGGAGCCCCAGGGTGACTGAGGAGGAGGAGGATGATGACGGAGGCATTGTGATTCGGACCAAGGAGCCCTCCTCCCCTGGCACTGATGATGTCTTCACCCCTGGGCCGAGTGACAGCCCCAGCTCCCAGAGGATACAGCGCTGCCTCAGCGACCCAGGCCCCCACCCTGAGCCTGAGGAGGGAGAGCCTTTCATCCCCAAGGGGCAGTAGCGCTGGGGCCAGTGGGCCATGCCTGTCCCACTACAGACTCTCCCACCAGAGCAGGGGCTGCTGGGGGCTGGGGGCCTCCCCTCACCCTTCCTGACCTGGATTGCCCCTCCCCCCACTGCATGGCAGCTGGGCCCAGCACTGCTCCCCCCTGCCTCCTGGGAAGCGCCCTCGCCCCCGCCCCCCCCACCAGAACTGCCTGCCCCATATATTTGGCAGAACTGTTGGGCTGTGAGGCAGAACCTGCCCCTTCCTATCCAGGCTCTCCGGTCCCCAGAGGAGGGCTGCCGAGTTTCCCAGACCTCGGTGCCCACCTCCTCTATCACCCTCCTCATTCAAACCAATCTTAGTTTCTAACCAAAGAGCCTCTGTCTTAGCCTTGATCCCACTTGAGAAGGGAAGGAGCCCAGGATGCTCTTGGCTTAGGCCTGGCCCTTCATTAACAGAGGAAAGACGGGGGAGCAGACATCTCTGGGGGAAGGGTTGGTAATTCATGGCCTTCCCACCCTCCTGCCATCTCTGTTATCCTGGCCGGCCACCCTGACATGTCCTTACCCAGAGCTGCATCTCTAAGCTTCTCTGTGGAGCTGGGGCACTTTGGACTGTGATGTGACTTGGCTTTCTAAATTGCTCCAGCAGGGACCACTGAGCCCTCCAGTGGCTGCTGTCAGGGGAAGGACTGTCGGGCTCCAGAAAGTGCTGCCTTTTTATCTATTTTGTTTGTTCACACTTCCACGTATGATCTCTTTGCACAGAGGCCATTCCTGTTTTTAAAACATTTTCAAAATCCCTGGCTGAGTGAAGCTCTGGCCTTCCTCCAAAGAATTACCCCTCCTCATTTGGGCCTGTCAGCCCAGCACTCCCCCAAATCAGTCCTCTGCCTCTTGGACTCATAACTGTGGGCCCCAAGGTCCTGATTTCAAATGTGACACGCCCCCCAATCCAATCATGGTTCTGATTTCAGATGTAACAC